CGCGCGGCTCAGCTCGCACACCTTTTCCCATCTCCACGGAAGACATATTTTCAACGCAACATTTTCAACCAAACGTCAAAGATCCTTTCAAATATCCTTTCAAGGATTTTTCACGAGTTTGCACACGGCCACGTGAGATTCCTTTGGGACCCCCACCCCACCAAAATGCAGGCATCTTCAATTCAAGTTCGGAGGGTTCTGGTTGCAAGGCAAAAGGTTGTGATTGCAAACATCTGGAACCCGTCAAAAAATGCTTCAATTGATGTCAAACAATCTCATAACGGCAGATTTCCTTGCCGCGACATTAATTTGTGGTTTTGCAAAGAGCATGTTTCGTTTTCCACGAGAAAGACAAATGTTGATTGAATACAAACTAAATAGGGTTATGAGGTCTGCAGACTCGGGTCCATTCGTGGAGAACCAGAGTTCAAAGCAAACACGGTGAAGCAGCATTTAGGTGTTGTGCTGCGGGCAGACGGAATAAGTGAACGCAGCAGAAGTCAAGTCAACGCTTTTCAATCGACAATACAAACGATGATCTTCCTTTTCACACCAGTGATTCTTTTAAAGCATTTTTTTCAAATCACATTCTCCAAATGTTTTTCAGATGTTCTTTCGTTTCTTTCCTTTTCAAATGTCTTGAAAAAAAAACCCACCGCCAGTTGGGCTGTGTTATGACACACAGAAATAATCAGTGGTACAGACGCTCGCCTTCACTCACCAAGACGCACACGTGCACGTGCGCAGGCACAATATGCTGGGCAAGATGCGACTCTGAGCAATGGGCACAAGCGGTAAGAAACAATATTCACGATCGTTTACTGTACTCAAGTCAATTTTTTCAGCTGTCTGTACTTAAGAATTTATATTTCTGACGACTGAATTACTTTTCCTCCCCTGAAAAGTAAATAAATCACTCTACCACCTTCTCTCCATAACACACCCAAGCTAACAACGAGGCACTCTAAAGAGGTCCCACAAATGGACTATCTGACGGGAAGAAGCGGAATGACGGCATAGCTAACTTGCTAACAGCATGTTACAATATTTAAGTTGCTAGAGTTCTCACATATATGGGAAGGGGCGACTCATGCCGGCCTCCAAAGTTCGTCACAAGGGGCCATTTTAGTTTTGTTCAAAAACATTTTTTGAAAACTGAAAAAGGGAAAAGCAATGGAAGGCAATGGGCTCTAATTTTTGTGACCGCTGTTAAAACAAGCAGGGCGCGTGGGATCATTCTGCGCTGAGTCATGCAATTTTGATCATTTTGAAGATGCCGACAGGCCGGCATATCTGTCAGAGGGAGGTCCACGCCATTGTGGGAGTGGTCAGAACAGACTTGGCCAATCAAAGCAGCTCCTTTCATTCCCTTTATGTGCGGTGCACTCATTGCACACAAAGGTCTCGACGTGGTGGAAGCACATCAACACCGCGAAGTGGGCACCAATCCTCAAATCATTTGTGTCCCCCCCACCCCGCCCCACTTTAGGTACGCCTCACACAGGGCCCAAAGTTAGGATGGACTTTCTGACACCAAATTTTCCCTCTGCCATCTCCAAGATATTCCTTCCTTCCTTCAACTCCGGGAGTTGAGGTGAGTTCAGGGTTCTACTTGTGGGATCTACTGAGCTGCAAAGCACGCGTACCCCAGCTCAAATGTGAACCAGCCAGGCCGGAACAAACGACACTTGTGCCGAGGCTAAGGCGGTCCCAAATATGCTGGGCGAAGCTCAGGCGTCACAGGACAGCGATTAGAGCCGCTGCCAGAGAACAAACGCATTTGGTGATGGGGGTTATCCAAGAGGAGCAAGGAGGGCCGGGGGGTGGCGGCGCAGCTGGCAAATTATCGCCAGAGGAGGTCAAGAGCCCGAGCGTGCCGAGCGGGCGCCACTCACCGTTTGGAGAGCCCACTTTCACTTATCGGCTGCACTGGCTTCATGCGTGCGTGGCACTATTTTCGTCCCTGGGATCAAATCTGAGAGGATCATTTTCCTCCCCTTGATTGCATTTGCGCTTCGCATAAGTATCGATCACGGCGGAAATCGAAAGACGAGTTTGCTAAAGAGCGAGCCCGAGGGTTAAAGCGCTCTCGTCGCGTTTCCAAGAAAAAGCTTTACAACGGTTGAGTTGCGAATGGGTGTCGGTCGCAACGTGCTCCGGCAGCGATTGGATGAATGACATCAGAGACTACGCGCGGCTCAAATCGGTAACACTGCCGGGAAGAGGAGCAATTTTTTTTTTGTTCTGTGTTTCAAAAATGCATTGGATGTGTTTCAAGGACAGTTGCAGCCAAGGTGACTCATGATTAGTATTGGAGAGAAAAAAAAGCTTGTTTTTATGATTTAGAAACAAACGAGAAGCCATTGTGACCCACAGTCCGCTCCATAAGTATTGGGACAGGAACACAACTGTTACCGGTTGAGCGCCAAATTCCCCCACAATGGCTTTGAAGAGAAACCAACAAGATATGCTCAAAATGCAACCGTTCAGCTTTAACTTGAGTCAGAATGACAACAATTCATATCAACTCCGTCGTCAGCTCCCTGTAGAATTATGCAAATTAGTATTGGCAAGCCAGTGGGAATGATCATTCCTCATGATCAGATAATCGGCTCATCAAGCCATGAGTCAACAATGAAAAAAAAATAAAGCAAGCACTCCACAAAAGGTCAGCGGTTACAAAGCGGCTGAAATGAGTTTACTGAGCAGGGTGCACGGGATAGGGTGAGAACCTCAGTCATGCAGGAGATGAGGTGGCTCGGGCATCTGCTTATGACGCCTCCCTGGTGAGGTGTTCTGGGCATGTCCCAGCGGCAGGTCGCCGCGGGGATGACCCAGGACACACCGGCTGCCCTGGGAGGACTTCAGGACCCCTCCGGAAGAGCAGGATGAAGTGGCTGGGGAAAGGGAAGTGTGGGCTTTTCTGCTTAAATTGCTTCCCCGTGACCCAACCCAGGTAAGCAGATGGCAATGCATGGATGGATGGTTGGAAGCAGCATGATTTTTTTTTCCTAAAAAAATTTTTTTGCCTATTTTACGTCCAAGTGTTCCTCGACCCCCCCCCCACCCCCCCAAAAATAGTCAGCAAATTTGTCATTATAGCAAAAGCAGAAGTTAAAATGTGCACCTCTCAACCACTTTCATGGTTCACAGCTTACCAAATATGGTTCGCATGCCTGATAAACGGTTACGTTTGTCCTTGGACTTGTGAGTGGTTGAGTTGCACATTATTCAGGCATCCAGTGGACCTCCTCGAAGGGTTTTGGTCCTCTCTAAATGTCACTTTTAATTGCGGGAGCTCCCAAGCGTGGCATTCTTGTCTCGGCGAAACCGCAGCCACGGCGAGCTCAGCTTGGCTTTCGTCACCTGCCTGGCCAGTCAACACCCCCCGCTCACAATAACCGCCCCCCATAACCCATCCAGGTTCCATACAGGACAGCACAGCAGGCTCCTCCCACCCGTTACTGTGTGCCATCATGAGCAAAGCCTCCAAGCAGATGTGTGTATTCTGGGCTTCATCCTGACACACACACACACACACACACACACACACACACACACACACACACACACACACGCGCGCA